CTTTCTCTCTCTCGCTCATCAAAAATGATGAGGTCATTCTTATCTTTTTTTGTTTGTTGGGTAAAGCTCTATCCCTCCCTACACTAATTTCAGAAAAACCAGCAGACAGTGTGGCATAGCCACTACAGGGAAAGGATTACAATACGGGGGAAAAAAAAAGAATTGTGTAATGAGGTTTTATACAGGCCTTTAGGATTCTCAGATAAATGATAGCAGAGAAACTAAATGAATATTTTGTGCATCTTTCTTACTGCTGCACTGGTCCAAATTTTTTAACTTCCTGAGCTCTGGTAGTGTAGTGCCTAAGACATTTGACTGCTAACCAGAAGGTTGGTGGTTCAAACCCACCAGCCACTCCGTGGAAGAAGACTGGGCAATCTACTTCTGTAAAGATTTACTGCCTTGGAAGCCCAAAGGGGGTCGCTTTGAGTCAGAATTGACATGATGGCAGTGAATTAGGCTTTGATTTTGCAACTACATATTAAGGATTTCCTGCCACCTAGTGTTCCTAAAGGACACCACAAATGGTAGGAAACTAGTAGTCTCTAAGGAGCCCTTCTGAGCTCTGGTGGTGGTGCAGTGCCTAAGGCATTTGACTGCTAACCAGAAGGTTGGCGGTTCAAACCCACCAACCACGTCTGCAGAAGGAAGACCAGGCAATCTACTTCCGTAAAGATTTACCAACTCGGAAACCCAATGGGGGTCACTATGAGTCAGAAACAGCTGCTAACTGAAAGTCCACAGTTTGAACCCAGCCACTCTGCAGGAGAAAGATGAGGCAGTGGGTTTTCTTTTCTTTCTTTTTTTTTTTTTTTTTCTTTAAGGAGCCTTCTAAGAAGCTCTGGTAGTGCAGTGTCCAAAGCATTTAACTGCTAACCAGAAAGTTGATGGTTCAAACCTACCAGCCGCTCTGTGGAGGAAAGATGGGGCTATCTACTTCTATAAAGATTTACTTACCACCAGCCACTCCTCAGAAGGATGATGGGGCAATCTACTTCCATAATGATACTACCTTGGAAACCCAAGGAGGGGTCTCTATGAGTCAGGTCCAACTCGAAGGCACATAACAATAACAACAATAAATACCACCTTGGAAACTCAATGAGGGGTCACTATGAGTCGGAACCAGCAACGGGTTTGGTGTGGGTTTTTTTGTTTTGAAAGAGCCCTTGTTGTATAGTGACTAAGGCATTTGGCTGTTACAGAAGGTCAGTAGTTCGAACCTACCGGCTACTCTGCAGAAGAAAGATGTAGCAGTCTGTTTCAATAAAGATTTTTAGCTTTAGGAACCCTATGAGATAATTCTATTCTGTCCTGTAGGGTCACTATGAATCAGAGTTAACTTGACAGCAGTGGGTTTGCGTTTTAAGGAGCCCTGGTAGAGCACTGGTTAAGTGCTCACCTGCTAATCCAAAGGTCAGCAGTTTCAATCCACCAGCCTGTCTAAGGAAGAAAAGACCAGGCAATCTACTCCTCTAGAGATGTGTAAACTAGGAAACCCTGAAGGGTAGTTCTGCTCTTCCCTGTAGGGCTACTATGAGGCAGAATTGACTTGAAAGCATGGATTTTTTGTTTATTTGTTTCTGTTCTTTGGTAAGGAGTTCAGGTGGCACAGTAGTTAAAGCGCTTAGCTACTAACTGAAAGTCCACAGTTTGAACCCAGCCACTCTGCAGGAGAAAGATGAGGCAGTCTGCTTCCATAAAGATTTATAGCCTTAGAAACCCTATGGGGCAGTTTTTTGCCCTGTAGGGTCTCTATAAGTTCAAATCAACCCCACAGCAACAGGTTTGATTTTTTTTTTTTTAATGGAACACAATTCTACTCTGACATACATGGGGTTACCACAAGTTGAATTGGTTTTGGTAAGACTGAAAGCCAACATCTTAGATTACTAAAAAAAAAAAAGTCTGCCAGAAGAAAAATGTATGTAATAGAGTAAATACCTAAAAGCATTCAAATAAACCCTGAGGGCATCTTTACCTTTGCTTATGTAATTTCCCCTATTTGGGTATGCACTCTCCATATCTCTGCCCAAAGAATGCTGGAGCATTTATCTTTTTTTTTTTTTTTTTAATGAAGTACATAAGGCAGTGTCTGAGCTCCTCTAACTTTACAAGGCAGGAGAAGGATCAAGATCAACAGCTCAAGGCTGATTCCTATGAGGCGGAGGTCAGACGTGCCTCTGCCCTCTAACCTTTTCACCGATTCTGACACCAACCATCCCTTCCATGGCACTCTCTACTTCTCTGCTGAGTTCGATAATTTGTTGCAGTGGCCACACACAACTCATAGATAATAATCACAATTATGGAGTTTGTTTGTTTGTTTATTCATTCATTCATTCATTCAGGATCAGGAAGGCTTAGGATACAGTTCTTCGATCAGGACAGCCTCCTCTCAGCTGTGTCTGAAAGCAGGTCTCTCTCTGGCCCTCAGCAGGCCTCTGCCCTATTCAGGCAAATGTTGCAGTGCTCTTTTAGCTCTCCCCATAAATTCCTAGAGGCATCCTACTCTGCCTGTAAACCTCGGTCCAAAGGCACTCAGCTTTCTCTCTCTGGGGGAAGGAAGCCCACCACTCTGTTTCGTGACAGTCTCTTGGTTCTGCTGCCTCTGCTGCCACTATTTCTCTGTTGATACTTCTCACCATCTCTGGTGTCACAGCTCTCTGTTTCCTGGATCAAGGAAATTCAGCACAGGGATCTCAGGTCCAAAGGACACACTCCATTCCTGGCTATTCATTGTTTCTTTATTTTTTTTCTTCTTTTTTTTTTTTTTTTTTTCTTTTTTGTAGTGATACCACCTCAGAAACCCAAGGAGGGGTTGCTATGAGTCAGATCTGACTCCACAGCAGTGTGTCGCGTTGCGTTGCATTCAGTGTTTTAGTCCTTGAATTAAGTTTTCTTGGCTGGTGGACAGGCCCCATATGCAAATTTTCCCCTCATGTGGGTCTCTCACAAATTGGAGTGTTTCTAAAAGTGGGCTATTTATACAAACAGCTCAGGGGTGAACTCTTAGGTTACAGCTGGTGTGTCTTCACAAAATAAGTACCAACTGTTCTACCATACTCAGAGCACAGGTACCATCAAATCTATTTTCTTTTTCTCAAGTTAAATTAAATTGGCTTAACCTCCCACCTGCTAGATTGGAAAGCAATCCCATAATACCCTCTTGGGGCTCATTCTATCTCTTAGCTAATCCAAGAATTCTAGTTACTTTTCATTCCAACAAAGAGGTCTACCCACTTCCACTTCTACATGGGGAAGACCTTTCTCTCTCAGAGATCTGCTGTTTTCTTTGTGGTTATGATTCCTTGCTGCCACACACTACTCTTGATTGTTCACTTCATTATCCAGAGATTCAAGGAAGTCACCTTCAACCAATTTTTGGTATAGGCCAGCCTAAACTTTCAAAGGCTGCCACATCTGCGTGTGGCTCCACTTGACCCATAGTGCCCTCTCTGGGTTCCCTAGACATCAACCAAATGCCCAGGCAGCTAAGTTCTGCTGCCCAGAATGACTTTTCTTTCTTGATGGTAGTCAGAGTCCCACCCTTTCTGTCTCTGGGATGGCTCATTTTGAGCCTAGCAGGATGGCAAAACTGACCAATCCCCACGTTAGGATTCCATATACCTTATTGGCATGGTCCAATCCTGACAAAGGTATCATGCACCTTATTTACATTATTAGGAGCTCTGGTAGCATAGTGCCTAAAAGCACTTGATTGCTAACCAGAAGGCTGGCGGTTCAAACCCACCAGCCACTCCTCAGAAGGAAGATGCGGCAATACTGCCTCAGAAACCCAAGGAGGGGTCGCTATGAGTCGGGTCTGACTCGATGGCACATAACAACAACAGCATTTACATTATTAGCAAGCTATCCAATCCCTTTGGTAGGCCACAGCATCTCATATTTACATATCCACCCAGTCATCTGATAGGAATCACAAAGAATATGGCCCATATTGAGTAATTCACTGTACTTCAATAGGTTAAAAAGTCAAATAGTTTTACAAAGCTTATAATAAAAATAGTACTCCCTTGCCACATTCCTTTCACATCCCCAACTCCTACTTCTCAGGATGAACAAATTATAATTTTTAGCTGTTTCTTTTAATGTGCCTCTACATTTCCAAATAACATCCTTATACTGCTCTTTCTTGATTTTTTAATTCTATATATTATCTCTTGTCTTCTTACTATGAAATATAAAGATTTGAGTCATGGTACATGTATCATTAACTGCTTCCTTGCTTTCCCAAAAACAAACATATAATGACAATGTAAATATTATTTGTAGCAAAGTCATACTAAAAAAAAAAAGTTGCCATTAAGTCGGTTCTGACTTATGATAATCCTATGTAAGAGAAGAACTGTGTTTCAGAGGGTTTTCAATGGCTGATTTTTTGAAACTAGATTGCCAGGCCTTGTTTCCACGGCATCTCTTGGTAGGCTTGAACCTCCAGCCTTTCAGTTAGCAGCCAAGCACATTAACCATTTGCACCACCCAAGAACTCCAAACATAGGAGGCTCTCAATAAATGTTTGTTGGACTGCTGATCTAAGCTCAGGATTCAAGCCCAAATCTGTCTTATTCTGTGCACAAGTACACAAATCTAGGGCTAAAAATGGTCTCTGCTTTAAGGGAGATTGAGAAGGAAAAATTTGCTAGTTCTAAAAACCTTGTTGTTGTTGTTATGTGCCATCGAGTCAAACCCGACTCATAGCGACCCCTCCTTGGGTTTCTGAGGCAGTATTGCCGCATCTTCCTTCTGAGGAGTGGCTGGTGGGTTTGAACCACCAGCCATCTGGTTAGCAGGCAAGTGTCTTAGCCACTATGCTTCTAAAAACCTTAGCAGACCTGTTTTTTTTATAATGAGAAGAGCTGATGCTTTGGAAACTTTCCCTACAATTAAAAATGGAAGAAAAGAGTAAACTGAAACATTAAGACTTAAACATACATCAAAGGAAAGATATCAAGAATATAAGTTGGTTTGTTTTCCAGGGGCCTTATGGGTGTGCATCATTTTAAATCCACATTGCAAACTGGAGGAAAAATCCTGTTGGCTGCTGCAACTGCAGAAGTGGAGCGACCTTGATGTCTGTCCCCTGGAGGATGGGAACTATGGCCATGAGCTGCCCAACATCACCAATGCACTTCCCCAGAGTGCCAGTCACAACCCAGGTGAGCCAGGTATCCTTTTAGACGTTTTGTGCCTGGAACTCCAAAAGTGGGAGGGTAGAACTCTGGAATAATGGGGGCCAGGCAGCTTTTAGGCTGTCAGAACAGTCATCCTGAATAAGAAAAATCTGTCCCCTTGTTTATCTTGAAATACCAGACCTTAAATAAGGCTAAGCTTTTATCTTTAACATTGGGGATGCTATCCTTTTCCATATCCAGTGTGCCCTTAGGGTACCCAGCATAAAGTCTTACAGCCCTTTGTGTGAATCTTATCTAAGCTTCAAGTTCTTCATACATAATATATCTTGACCTCAATTGGAATTGGTTTTATTTCAGAAGACCTACCTCAAGGGAGAGACAGAGGGCCAGTAAAAAGCTTTAAAAATCGTCCAAACGATAACTTTTCTCACTTTTCTGTTTTCCTCTAATTTTTATAAGGCAGATTACTGGGAGGGATGTTCTCCCAAGTGACTATCAGGATTCTTGCTCCAGGAGTCCTGGCTTTTTAAGACAAAGCCAGTACAGGCATACTGTACTCTGCCTTTCAAACTCACTGGCCTACTGATACCACTCGGGTATCATCATTTATATCAGTTTTAATTTATAACAGGGTTGTTTGTTTGTTTGTTTATGTTGTCCACTGATTACTCTTTGGCCCAAATCGACATTAAACCAAACACACTGTAAATCTTTATTTCCCCATCTTCCTTCTGTGGAGCAACTGGTGGGTTTGAACTGCTAACCTCCTGGTTAGCAGTCAAATGCTTTAGGCACTGTGCCAACAGAGCTCCCTATTCTTTGGCCCACTAGGACCCTTTCATTGGTAGATTTTATCAGACACTGATTTTACTTGGTACCTTTCTTTTATAGGATAAATCTGTTGGTATTTAAATTTCAAGGAGGAGATCACTTAAATCTTTTCTTGGGTCTTCATCTGCTCTACCATAATTGGTATCAGTATATTTAAGGCAACTAAAGTAATGAGAGATGAAAACAGTTATATTTTTGCAACTCCTTTAATCTACCCTTTCCTTGAACTAATCTAGCCTCCACGACACTGGAAGCCATCCTTTTAGTACTGACTTCTGATGGCACAGAGAAGGTCAAATACATACAAGCAGATACCCCAGGTCTTTCACTTCCTTCCTTCTCATAATATATTGGTTCTTCATTGTTACTGGTTCTCCTTTGAGGGCACTGCTTACTCTAGTCTTCTGAAGTTGTGGCTGATTTCTCTCTCACATCCCTTGTACCATTAGGCCAAGAGGAGCAATAGGCATCCTGTTTATTCTTCATTGCCATTTCTACATCATTGTCTTTCCCTCCTCCCTAAAATATCCCCTTTAAAATTCATGCCATCCAACTGTAGACTTCTGGGACACTCCCCCTCATTCCTTGAAGATGTTAGTTATTGGCATCCTAGCACTACCCTAAGTCAGTACTTGTAGCAAAATTCTTGATAACTTCAGTAGCCACATAGATGATCCTTCCAGTATTCTGGCCTCTCAGTTTTTTGTTTGGGTTTTACCCTTTCCAGAGGTCTTCTCCTGCCACGGCTTAGCCAATCAGTCTCAACATCCTACCTTAAACTTTGTCATACCAATAACTACACCCTCATCATGAGCTCAACTTCAAGCATCTCCAGTTACCAGTCTTTCTTGCTTATTTTCTTTAGTATCCCATTTCTAGGAATTTTGGTCCTTTCATATCCTTTTTCACTATCTTGATAGCCTCATTTTCCTCATTAACCAAGGTTAGCTTCTTTGGTACAACATTATAATCACCTCCTTGCATACACGCTCAGCTCCCTCTTACCTGTTGTCACACTCATATAGCAAAATCCCAATCTTAACTCACACCTGCACAACTGAACATGGTGAAACACACCGTGATAACTAGTCTTATTTTAAATTTATGACTATATTTCCCTAGTCCATGCCCTCTTTTACTCTTCTAAGATACTATTTTACAACTTCTTATCCTTAAAACTCTCTGTAGTTCCTCCCTATTCCTCACTCCCAGTTGACAGCCTTGCTTCTTGTTCACTGAGAATGTAGACGAAATCAGAAGAGAATTTCTAAAACTCTATCTATGTCCAAACACTCTGGCCTCCTCTTTTGTAGCTGTGGGTGTTTCCAAGTCCAAGCTTTCCACTTTTTTTTTTTTTGAGATCTTGTTATTTCTTTTTATCTAAGACATCACTCCAGGAATTATATGCACTCCCTCGTGTATCACAGATTTTTCCCTCTCCATAGATTATTCCTGTGCATACACAACATGCTGTTGTATCTCCTGCACTTAAAAAGCAGAACAAAACAAAAACACTTGTGATCCCCACATGCTTCTCTGGCTACCATCCTATATCCATGCTTCTTTTTAAAGAAAAGTAATTCAAAAGAATGGTATATATTTATTGTCTCCAGTTCCTCTACTTCTGTTCTCCTCTTGTACCCACTTCAGTCAGGCTTTCATCCCCACCACTTCTGAAGCAGCTCGTGTAATGGTCACTAATGCTAACCACTGCTAAATCCAATAGTTAATTATTTCTGGACCTGTCAGCAGCATTTGACAAAACTGATCATTCTCTTCTTGAAACACCTTTTTTTCTTTTTCTTTATTGTGATTTGGGTGAAAGTTTACAGAGCAAATTCACTTTTCATACAGCAGTTCACATATACTTTGTCTCATGACATTGACTACAATTTACCACAATGCAACAGCTCCCTTCCCACTTCCTCCCAATAGTTACCTCTTCCCTGTGTCCATCCCTCCATGCACTCCTGCCCCCTGAGCTGTCTCCCTGTGCATAAACAGCCCTTCTTTCTCCCATGATTGTTCTCTCCAAGGAGTGTATCTACCTCAGGTAAATGTTCAACTCATATGCCTGTCTTTTGTTTGGCTAAAAGCCACAGGTATGGGTTCAATTCCAGAAATGAAGGGCAGCTAGGGACCATAGTCTCAGTGGTTCCACCAGGCTCTATCAGACCAGCAAACCTGGTCCCCCCTTTTTATTTCTTTCAAATGATTTTGAGTTTTATTCTCCCTCTCTATCCAGGATCTCCTACATAGATGCCCTTCCAAGTGATTGACAGTGGTAGCTGGGTACCATCTAGTTCTTCTGGTCTCATAGTCATATAGGCTGAAGATCGCATGATGTACCAGTCACTTGGACTAATTGTTTCCATGAATCTTTGGTTTTCTTCATTCTTCTTTGCTCTGGTCAAGGAGAGACCCATCGTTGTATCTAGATAGCTTTTTGCAAGCTTTTATGATCCCAGTCACTACTTGCCAAAGTAGGAGGTAGAACAGTGTTTTGTGTAGTATGTTTTGCCAGTTGAGCTTGATGTCCCCCGCAACTGTGATCCCAACCCCACAGGTTCAGCTACTTACTCCCTCTGGGTAGCTGGCTGTGACCAAGAAGTGACTACAGCCTTGTCCCTTGTCAGCTCTACTATATACCTGGGAATTCTTACAGAATATAGCAATAAACTTGTAGAAACATTGTCTGCCAACCCTATACAGGGTCTTGGATACACTCCCCCTCCATAGACATACCTAATAGTTCAGCCTGTCTACCCATCTATCCACTTGTAGATCAATGTTTGCCTTCACTGACAATGCAGTATTGTATGTGCAAAAGGGTTCATCTTTGTTGTGTGCACCTGCCATGTACCTATTTCTTCCTCATACTCACTGCCACCATGTTGATCACTCACATTGGTACATTGCCTTTCTGTTCACTCAAATCAATACTTATCTCTACATATCTAACAGTGTTCCCTACCCTCCCCTCCCACACCTGGTAACCAACAAAGAAAATTTCCTTCCATCTATAAACCTTTCCTTACAATAATGGACTAATATAATATTTGTCCTATTGTGACATAATGTCAGCATAATGTCCTCCAAGTTCATCCATGTTGTGCAGTGTTTTGCAGATTCTACGTTATTCTTTAGGGTTACATAGTATTCCATTATGTGTATGTACCATACACAGTTTGGTTATCCATTCCTCAGGTGATGGACACCTAGGTTGTTTCCATCTTTTGGCTGTTGTAAATAGTGCTGCAGTGAACATGGGTGTGCATATATCTGTTCTTGTCATGGCTCTCACTTCTTTAGGATATATACCTAATAATGGAATCGCTGGGTCAAATGGTATTTCTAATTCCAACTTTTTAAGGAATTGTCATACTGCTTTCCACAGTGGTTGTACCATTTTACAGTCCCACCAGCATGTATGAGAGTCCCAATCTCTCTACATCCTCAGCATTTGTTATTTTCTGTCTTGTTGAACTTTGCTACTAGTGCTGGAGCAAGATGGTATCTCATTGTTGTTTTGATTTGCATCTCTCTGATGGCTAATGATCATGAGCATTTCTTCATGTTTGTTGGCTGCCTGAATATCCTCCTTGGTGAAGTGTCTATTCATGTCTTCTGCCCATTTTTAATTGGATTATTTATCTTTTTGTTATTGAGGTGTTGGAGTTTGAAACACTTTTTTGACATAACTTCCAGGATAACACTCTCTCTTCATTCTTACTTCATTGGCCCCTCCTTCTCAGTCTCCTTCACTGTCTCTTCCCACTTCCCAACCTAAAATGCTGGACTACCAGGTCTTAGTCAACAAACGACTTCTCTTCTTTTTTTGCACTCATTCTCTTGATGATTGTATCATTTCAGTAATCATCTATGTACTACAACTCTCAGATTTCTATCTCCTGTCTAGACCTTTCTTTTTAACTTCAAACTTGTTCAGTTGTTTTCTCAATATCTCTACATAAATATTAATGGGCATCTCAGTAGGATGTCTTACCCCTCAAACTATACCCAAACCTTCTCTGCCTATAGTCTTCTTTATCTCCATATATAGCAACTCTTATCTATAAAACCATGGAGTCATTTTTTACTCTTTTCTTTGTCTCTCACCCCAGATCTAAACCATGAGAAAATTCTGCTGCAGTCACCTTCAAAATATATCTGGAATTCAACCACTTGTTATCGCATCCCCTGCATATTACTCTGAACACCTTACCATACTTCATAAATTATGGCAAATCCCTTCTGTCTTAATTATCTTATGCTGCTATAACAGAAATACCACAAGTCGATGGTTTTAAAGAACAGAAACTTATTTTCTCACAGCTTAGGAAGCTGGAAGTCTAAATTCAGGGTACCAGCTATAGCCGAAGTCTCTCTCTGACTGCTCTGGGGGAAGATCTTTGTCTCTCAGCTTCTGTTCCTTGGTTTCTTGGTGATCTTCATGTGGTATCATTATACCCTTATTTGTCCTTGCTTGCTTCTGTACCTAATATGCTCTTTTTATATCTCAAAAATTATTGGATTTAAGGTGAATGGGACTACACTCACGAAATATAGGTTTGACAGAGGCTATCTCTACCTATGCATTTATATGTGCTGCAAATATATCCATGAATGTACTAGAGCATAACTCAAAAAAAAAACCTCACTGCCGTCGAGTCGGATCCAACTCATAGCAACCCCTCCTTGGGTTTCCAAGGCAGTATCACTTCAGAAATAGATTGCCCAATCTTCTTTCCAAGGAGTGGCTGGTGGGTTTGAACTGCCAGCCTTCTGGTTAGCACTCAAATGCCTTAGGCACCATGCCACCAGATCTCCCGTAGTAGAGCATACAAGGGACAAAATTATGAAAACTTCTTAGTCATAACCAAACAGCTTAAGGCAATGAATGAGCTGTTGTGCATGGAGGCTCAGGACCATAGTCTGGGAGAACACTAAAGTCAATTGGTATAACATAGTCCACAAATACAGTGTTCTACATCTTATTGTGGTGAGTAGCAACTGGGGTCTTAAAAGCTTGTGAGTGGTCATCTAAGGTGTAACTATTATCTCTCCCCATCTGGAGCAAAGAAGAATAAAGAAAATCAAAGATGCAAGGAAACAATTTGTCCATGGGACTAATGGACCACGTGAATCCTAGATTCCACAACCCTGAGACTAGAAAAACTAGATGGTACATGACTACCACTGCTGACCACTCTGAAAGGGATTACAATAAGAGGTCCTGCATAGAATCAGAGAAAATGTAGGACAAAACTCAAAATAATTAAAAAAAAAAAAAAAAAAAAACTAGGCTTATTGGTCCGATGAAGACTGGTAGAACCCCTGAGACTGTGGCCTTTAGACACTCTTCAACCTAGGAACTGAACTTAACCCCTATAACTCAACTTTAAGCCAACAATAAGCCTGTAAGATGAGCAGTAATATCAGGAGGCTCTGCACTCATTAGAGCAATCAAGCACATGAGATCAAGAGGACAGCATTTGCCCAGGGATGGAGTTAGGAAGGTGGGAAGGGATGAGAAGGAAGGAAGAAGGGTAGGGGCTGATACAGAGAGGAAGTGGGAAGAATGTTTTTACAGTGTGAGGACTGCAGTGAATGCCATAAAACAGAATGTGTATGGATTATTGAATGGGAAACCAATTTGTCGTATAAACTTTAGCCCATCACAATTTTAAAAAATTATTAGATTTAGGATACACTCTACACTGATATGGCCTCATTAACTAAGAAAGAAAATGCTGTTCCCCAAAGAGATTACATTCACAGGAATGGGGTCAGGACTTCAACACACATTTTGGAGACACACAATTAAATTCATAAAACCTCCTAACTGGTTCTGTTTCTACCCTTTCATCTTGTAGTTGGTTCTCAAGACTGCTGCTAGAGCTAGCCTTTTGAAATACAAGTCTGACCATGAAATATAAGTCCCTTCATGGCTTATAGCCCTCCAGGGGCTTGTCTTCTTACTCAAAAAGCTTAAATCATCTTTTGCTCATGGCCTATGAGGCCCTGCATGATCTGGCTCCCCAGTCTCTGGCATCATCTCCTATGATTCCGCTGCTTGCTCATTCTATTCCAGCTATAGTCACTTCCTTGCTGTTCCTCAAACTGTTCAAATATGCTCCAGTCTAAAGACCTTAATGCTTACTCCTTCTGTCTGAATGCTCTTTCCTTAGTTATCTCTAAAACTTGCCCCTCTATTCCTTTAGGTCTCTGTGCAAATGTTTTCCGGTTGTTGTTGTTATGTGCCATCGAGTCAGACCAACTCATAGCAACCCCTCCTTGGATTTCTGAGGCAGTAACATTACGGAAGTAGATTGCCCAACCTTCCTTCCAAGGAATGGCTAGTGGTTTGAACCCCCAGCCTTCTGGTTAGCAGTCAAGTGCCTTAGGCACTACACTACCAAAGCTCCTGTTTTCCTATTAGACCATTTTATATAAAACAGTAAACTACTTCTCAACACCAGTGCATCTTTCTACCCAACCTTACTTCATTCTTCTTCATAGCACTCATAGCCATCTGATATATCTGATATACTATATGTATTGAGCTCTGGTAGCGTAGTGCCTAAGGCATTTGACTGCTAACCAGAAGGCTGGCGATTGAAACCCACCAGCAGCCATTCCTCAGAAGGAAGATTGGGCAATCTACTTCCGTAGTGATTGTTGTTGTTGTTGTTGTTGTTGTTGTTATGTGCTGTCAAGTCAGACCCAACTCATAGCGACCCCTCCTTGGGTTTCCGAGGCAGTATCACTATGGATATGAGTTTAGTTTTTGGTATGTATTTATTTGCTCATTCATTTAACTATCTCTCCCTTTTTGAATGTAAAGGCCCATAAAGGCAGAGACCTTGTATATCCCCAGCACCTAGAACAGTACCTGCCATATACTAAGCACTCATTATTTTCTAATTTAATTAATAGCAAGACATATTGGGAGCCCAGTTGTATTAGTTCATTATTGTAAAAAGTCAAAAAAAGGTTTGTATATGAAAGGAAACTTTCTTGTTGGTTACCAGGGGAGGGAGGAAAGGAGATGGAACACTGCAAAAATAAATAATAATAATAAATATTTACAGCCTTGGAAACCCTATGGAGCAGTTCTTCTCTGTCCTATAGGATCCCTATGAGTCAATATTGACTCCATGGCAGTAGGTTTTTTTTTTTTTTTTTTTTGGTATTAACAATAAACAAAATAAAATGTGTACATAAAAAAAAAAGAAAGAAAGAAAGACATATTGGGAGCCCCACTGTGGGCTGAGCAGACTAATGGTGGATTTCAGCTTAGCCACTCATCTAAAAGCAGTGAGTACCAATAACTAATGACACTTTACTTATGGAAGGCAGGGAAAGAAACAAGCAGGAGGGCAGGGATAGAGAAACAGAGGCAAAGATGCAAGGCATGTCAGTACCCCAGATGTGTGGGCTATAAAGCTTCTGCAACTTTTCTTCCCTGAGCCATAGCTAAATCAGCCCTTCATTTGTTTTCTATCATTGGTTTAGTGAGCCAACGAGAAAGGGGCATAGACTCCCTCTAATAGAAGGGCCTCGGAAGGAAGGTTGGGCAATCTACTTCCATAGTGATACTGCCTCAGAAACCCAAGGAGGTCACTATGAGTTCGGTCTGACTTGATGGCACAAAACAGCAACAATAGAAAGGTCAATGTACTTCTCACTAATGGATAACATGAAGGAGAAGCAACTTCAGTGATACTGTGAGTGCTATTTTTATGATGTTGTTTTACGATGTTGATGCTGTTGGGTGCCACAGAGTCTATTCCAACTAATAGAACCATTTGACAGAATAGAACTGCCTCATAGGGTTTACTTGGCTGTAATCTTTATGGAAGCAGCTCCTGCAGAGCCGCAGAGCTGCTTAGTGGGTTAGAACCACCAGCCTTTCCATTAGCAGCCAAACAACCAGGGCTCCTATTCATATGATAACATCCTTTAATCATCTGAGCCCATGCCAGTGGGATATATCAAATTCTAAAGAGATGATCAGATTCCAAGGACTTTTATTAAGTGGATGAATATGTTAGTTTCTTTCATGTTCAATCTGAATCCTCTGACTCCTCCTCCCACCTCCATTTTTTGGCACAGGTTTAGTAGATTCACATCTCATTTGAGCATCTGTGGAAACATCTATATAGTACTTCAGTTCTTAATGCCAAAATAGTTTCAACGGCTTTAATAGCAGAGTCAGTTAAATGGCCCTTTAAGTAATTTTTATTTCCTTAAATGTCATTTCCATGAGTCTCCCTAACTCAACAGTTTATGATGGTGTAGCTTCCATTTAGTCTTTCTACACGCCACCTTTAAGATTAAGCCTACTTTGTCTGAAGTTTTGGTTTCCCAGAAGCCCCTTCCCTGAAGAGAGATGGCATGGTAAGACACCGATGAGGGAAGAAGTTAATCAGTCTTTTGTCAGCATCAGTTTTCCTTATTGTGGATCGAGACTGTAAGCCTGTAGATACCAGTATGATAAAAGTACCAGAATAACAAGGCTTCAACTCTTTTATCAATTTTAAACATGAGTTTCCTGGAAGTCCTTAATATGATAAGGGCCACATTATAAATGAGACAGATTCTGGATTGGCCAGAGAAGTTACCTAGATTCTTCTTTCTACCTCTGACCTCTATAGAAGCAGTTGGTATCTTCATTGATTGAGGAGCTGAGCACTGTCACTCCTCTCTTGTCTGTGGCTCAAGGTCCCAGGAGAAACTGGTCTCTGTAGAAGGAGGAAGGAAGCATGAATCTCTGTAAGGAAGTTCTTCCTGTGGAGGGCACAAACATACTGAAAGCTTATCCAGGAAAGAAGCAACACAACAAACACTGAGATGGTAAATTGGCTGCTTGCACTTAACCATATACTATTCTTTCGTCCATCCTTTCACCCAGAAGAAGACAGGGGCTAGAGATTCAGATTGCCCATCATTACATTGTTGCATTTCTTTCTTTCCCCAGACTCTTTATCCAGACCAAAACGAACAGTGTTCACTAGAGCCATCGAGGGCCGTGAATTGCATTGGCAGGACAGCCACTTACAGCGAATCATCAGCAGTGATGTATACACAGCTCCTGCCTGCCAACGGGAAAGTGAGAGACTGCTCTTTAATTCTCAAGGCCAGCCACTGTGGCTTGGTAAGTCTATCTGTCTTTTCTCTACTCAAGCAAGGCCTGGATGAGCTATCTGCATAGGTATAAGCAACATGAACTACAATTTGGATGTTCTTCACACAGATCTTTTGAGGCCTTGTGTAGGGCCTCAGGTTATGTATGTGAAGGCTGAGCTATTTGTATAAGCACTCAGCTGAGGTACAATAACCTCAAATGGAGGAATTTATATCCTGTTCTTTCAGCTTTGAAAGGGGAAAGGAGTTACCAGATCTCAAAGAGTACTAACAAAACCATTAGACATTGGTTCACAGACTCTCTCAGTCAGCAGTTACTGAACAACATTATAATCTGCTCTAAAATTATATGTTTTGCTATAAAGCACTAAGCTTGAATCTTAAATTACCCTGTGCTAGTAGCTGGGGCAAAATCTGCATTTCTCACCAAGATGTCTTCCATTTCTCTTTCCTATTTTCTCTCCTCTAATTTCTCTTTCCTATTTTCTCTCCTCTAAGAGGATAGAGCCATTCCATCATGAATGTAAACTCACTTCTGAAATACCTTGCCAGGCTGGCCTTCTAGCACTTCTATCCTTGATTTCATCATAGGACGCCTATTCCAAAATAGACACTTTTCCTTTTTTATTTTTCCCCTTCTTTTTTTAAATATTCATTTTCTGAGTCTTCCAATAATGGCAAACACTTTTATGGTCTTCACCCAACTCCTTCACCCCATATCTTTGTCTTTCTCAAGATCTTGCTGTATCTGGATATGTCTCTGTCTCTCTCTTGAAAGCCTTGGCCAGATTCACCGTAGGTCACCACCTGGAATTCCTTTTGATCACCTCTCCCTTTCTTTGACCCAATACATCTAAACATAAATCTAATAAGCATGTGAAAAAATATATGTCTCATTAATAATCGACTATACATATTAAAAGAGCACTGAATTATCATTGTTTGATTGTCAAATAGAGATTTTTAAAATAAAAATAATTAGTTTGTGGTGTGGGAAAAGTTGCAGGGAGATAGATACTCTCATGTACTTACACTGGTAAGAATCTAAATTTTTACGGCCTTTCTGAAGAATATTTCAGCAACATTTATCAAAAGCTTCTAAAATACATTCATACTCTTTAAGCCAGGAATTCTACATCTAGAAATTTATCCTAAGACCATAATTAAGTAAAGATATGCATAAGCTAGGGGGTCCATTAGAGCATGGATATAAATAATTTACAGATGGGAAAACTGGAAACAATCTAATAGCAGTTAACACAATGGATTGTACACATATTCAGTGGAATGATATGCCATCACTTTCAACATTATAGACATGGAAAGATATTTACAGTGTGTGTTATGAAGAGGAAAAAGCCAATTACAAAATAATAATTATAATATCATACCATTTTTATTAATAATTGAATAGAAAACTCTGGATGAATATACATGAAACTGAAAATAGTGGGTATCTCTGGGTAACAGTATTACAGATAATTTTTATTTGCTACCTTTTTATCTGTACTTTCTAATTTTCTGTGATTCTATAATTTTTAAAAAATTTTTATTGTGATTTGGGTTAAAGTTTACAGAGCAAATTGGTTTTCCATTCAGCAGTTCACACACATTTTGTTTTGTGACATTGATTACAATCTCCACAAGGTAACAGCACACTTCCCACTTCCTCACTTTGGTTATCTTTTCCCTGTGTCCTTCTTTCCTATGCATTCCTGCCTTCTGAGCTATCTCCCTGTACAAATGCTACCCTTCCGATCTTCAGTGGTTGACTGTTCTAAAGAGTGTATCTGCTTGGTATAAATGTTCACCTTAAAGGCCTGTTCATTGTTTAACTGGAAGCTGTGAGAGTAAGTTCAATTCCAGGCCCGTACTTCTATAATTTTTCATGTCATCTTTAAAATAAAAGAAATTCAGATAAATTTCTTTATAATCACTCACCCATTTATAAGTCTTTGGTGATCCTCCATTATCTCTAAGGTAAATCCAAATTCCGTACTATGGTACTCAAAATCTTTCACATTCCAGACTCTACTTTTCTAGCCTATCTCTAGCTACATAAGTTAACTCTCCTTATATTGAACTATTTGGCTTACTCTGAAGCTGTTATGTCTGTCAGACTGTTATACAGTATATATTTGGTGCTTTTACTTATATGCGTTTGCTTTTATGTTCCCTTTGCCAGGAGTACCTTTCCCTCTTTGTTATCCATCAAGGCCTAGCTCAAATATTGTCTTTACTCTGTACATATTTCTATCATGTCATTTCTTTTTGTTTTATAATTTTCTATTTATATACCATTTGCAAGCTCTTAGAGGTCAGTGAGCATTTCTTAATCATCTTTGTATTTCCTTTGCCAAGCACACCACCTGGCATATAATAGATTTTCAGGAAATATAAAATTAATAAATGAATAAGACTTTTCCCTTTAGGCAGTTAGTTGTTACCTCTTCTGGGTTCCCACAGTATACATGTTCAGATAGAGGTACTACATTTTATTGTCCTAGCTGTATGTCTCTTTCTACACCACACCCCCACTCCCTGATGCTGCAAATTAGCTCTTTGAAGGTTGCACCTATGATTCATTCAACTTTGTATCTTCGATAAGTAAAAGATAGTTCCTCATATACAACAGATGTGAAGTTGAACTTGAGGAACTAAACTGAACACAGACTCCCTTTGTCAAGCATGAAGTTTCCTGATTTGAAAATTTAACTCAGCCCAAATACTTTCTTCTTATCCGGTAGAGCATGTGCCTACAGCCTGTGCTCGGGTTGATGCCCTGCGTTCTCATGGTTATCCAAAAGAGGCCCTCAGACTCACAGTGGCCATTATCAATACTCTGAGGTTGCAGCAACAGAGGCAACTGGAAATCTACAAGCATCAAAAGAAAGGTATAGTGATTAGGAGCCATCTACAGCCGTTAAACCTGAGACCAAGAGGATCTCCTGGGGATGCAAGGCCTAGTACAGGCAGTTCCCAGGTTACGAACGCCTGACATGTGACTTATGGACAACTCTTTGCCCTTTAATATTATGTACATTTTCCCTCACTTTGGAACAACTGAACCTACTCATAACAAATTCTTCATCACAGTCACCTTCGGCACATGCAGGCTTTAAATCATTGAAAAAGCTTCCAGCCTTTTCTTGTAAGGTTAATTAGAACCTATTCTGATTCACCTTTAAATTCCACTTAAAGACACAGTGAAGAACAGACCTTGTTTGTAACCTAAGGACTGCCTGTACTTAATTTTCATTAAGTTTTATGGAGTGGGTGTGGCAAGAGTTAGAAGATTAGAGATCCTGATGTGTGACCTAGAATACCTCTCTGAATCTCAGTTCTCTCATCCGTATAATGGAAATAATGATGCCTGCCTGCCTCCCTCACAGGGCAGTTGTAAGGCTCCCATGAAAAGACCCTTTTTAAACTCAAAAGCTGTATCTACCTATGTGGATACAGCTGGATTTAGCAGGCAGCCTAAATGCAAATCACATAGTCTTACAGCTGACTAGTGAGCTTGTTACCAGTCCTGTCAACTTGAGGCAAAACAACGAAGGTAGCTTTAAGAGACTAAGGAGGAGGCTCAAGCAGGGACCTAGAGCAATGTGTTTCTTCCACTGTCTAAAACTCTAACGTGCTTGCTTCCAGAACTGCTGCAGAGAGGAACTACAACCATCACAAACCTGGAGGGATGGGTGGGCCACCCCCTGGATCCCATTGGCTGTCTGTTTCTCACTTTGACTGAGGCCTGCCGCCTGAATGATGATGGCTATCTGGAAGTGTCAGGTACAGGGGTCAGCCTGAGGCAAGCCGGGACTGCCCTTAGCAGCAGCTCTCTCCTTCCTGCCAGACTCTGTTCTGTCCCTCCTGTAGCCCTTTCTTTCTCTCATCCAAACTGGCCCTTCCCTGAGAGGTTTCCTTGGGCTTCCTTTCTTTCCACCACCCTGCCCCACTGTAGTCCTTACCAGCCTTTCTTTCTTTCTTTCTTACTCCCCACCACGAATGCTTAAGGAGTTTGGTCCAAGGGGAATAAGAAGGGATAGAGGAAAAAGAAAAAAGATGGTTGGGACCAGGTTTGCTGGTCCAATAGAGCCTGGTGGAACCACTGAGACCATGGCCCCTAGCTGCCCTTCAGGTCTGGAATTGAACCCACACCTGTGGTTTCCAGCCAAACAAAGTACAGGCATGTGAGTAAACATTTACCTCAAGTAGACACACGCCCTGGAGAGAACAATCATGGGAGAAGGAAGGGCTGCTTATGCACAGGGAGACAGCTCAGGGGGCAGGAGAGTGTAGAGGGATGGACACTGGCAAGTGGTGACTATGGGGAGGAAGTGGGAGGGGAGCTGTTGCATTGTGGTCAATGACATGAGACAAAGTATATGTGAACTGCTGTATAGAAAGTGAATTTGTTCTGTAAATCTTCACCCAAATCACAAAAAAAAAAAAAAAAGGGATAGAGGAATTTTAGGAGTCAGGTCCTCAGAGCAGTCTGGAAGGGGGAGAGAATTTCCATCAAGAGTATATATATCCCTTGCAATTACACAGTACTCCCTGGTTTCCATTGAACATTCCTCCTCATGAGGGCTTTGTACCAATTTTACAAATGAGAAATAAAAAACCCATTGCTACCCTGTAGATTCAGACTCCTGGCACACCATATTTTACAGAGAAGAACTGCTCCATAGGGTTTTACTGGTTATGGTCTTTACAGGAACAGATCGCCAGGCCTTTCTTCCTATGGCACCATTGGGTGGGCTCAGACTGCCATCCTTCACATTAGTAGGCAAGCACAAACCATTTTACCACCCAGTGACTCATAAAGGGGGAGTCCAGGCATACTTTGGAGACATTGTGGGTTCAGTTCTAAGCCACTACAATACAACAAATATCATACTAAAGCAAATCACGTGAATTTTTTTATGTGACCCAGTGCATATGAAAGTTTTGTTTACATTATACTGTAATCCATTAAGTGTGAAATAGATTTGAAAAAGTTTGAAATATTGTTAGAAGTACCAAAATGTGACACAGAGACACAAAGTAAGCACATGCTATTGGAAAAATGGTGCTGATAAACTTGCTTGACACAGGGGTTGCCACAACCTTTAATTTGTAACATATGCAATATCTGGGAAGACCAATAAAACAAGATATGCCTATAATGTAGTAGAATCTCAAAGTAGCCAGGACTAGGCATAGAATTGATTCTTCTTTATGCCATCATGATTTTGTACACACACATCTATTGTAGTATTTAACACACTGCACTACAATTTATTTCCAAGCGAGTATCTCTTATTACTGAAAGCAAAAATTGTGACTTACTTATTTTTGTGATCCTTGCACTTAGTGCTCTTGTTGTTGTTAGGTGCCATCAAGTTGGTTCCCATTCATAGAGACCTTATGCACAACAGAATGAAACACTGCCCAGTCCTGCACCATCTGCACAATTGTTACTATGCTTGAGCCCATCATTGTAGCCACTGTGTCAGTCCATTTCATTGAAGGTCTTTCCCCATTTTTGCTGACCCTCTACTTTTCCAAGCATGATATCCTTCTCCAGGGATTAGTTCTTTCTGACAACATGACCAAAGTATGAGAAACAAATTTTGGCCATTCTCACTTCTAAGGAGCATTCCAACTATACTTCCTCCAAGACAGCTTTGTTCATTCTTCCACAAGTCCGTACTACATTTGCTATTCTTCACCAGTACCATGATTCAGATGTATCAGTTCTTCTGCAGTCTTCCTTATTCGTTGTCCAGCTTTTACATGCATATAAGCCTATTGAAAATACCATGGCTTGGGACAGGCCCATCTTATGAGTCTTCAAAATTACATCTTTGCTCTTAAACACTAAAGAAGTCTTTTGCAGCAGATTTGCCCAATCCAATATGTTGTCTGATTTCTTGACTGTTGCTGCCATGGGCATTGATTGTGGATCCAAGTAATATGAAATCCTTGACACCTTTAGTCTTCTCTCCATTTTTCATGATGCTGCTTATTAGTTCAGTTGTAAGGATTTTTATTTTCTTTATGTTGAAGTGTAATCCATATGAAGATGATAGTCTTTGATCTTCATCAGTAAGTCTTCACTTTGAGCAAGCAAAGTTGTGTCATCTGCATATTGCAGATTGTTCACAAGTCTTCCTCCAGTCCTGATGCTGCATTCCTCTTCATATAGTCCAGATTCTTGCATTTGTTCAGAATACAGATTGAACAAGTATGGTGAAAGGATCCAACCCTGACACACACCTTTCCTTATTTTAAACCACACAGTATCCTCTTGTTCTTTTTGAATGACTGCCTCTGGGTCTATGTACAGTTTTCTCATGAGCATAATTAATGTTCTGGAATTCCCATTCTTTTCAATGTTATCCATAATTTGTTATGATCCACACAGCTGAAAGCCTTTGCACAGTCAATAAAACACAGCTAAACATCTTTCCAGTATTCTTTGCTTTCAGCCAAGATCCATCTGACATCAGCAATGATATCCCTCATTTAGTACAGTGACTTCTGAATCCAGCTTGAACTTCTGGTAGTTCCCTGTTGATGTGCTGCTGCAACTGTTTTTTAATTATCTTCAGTAAAATTTTACTTGCATGTGATATTAATGATAGGGCTTGATAATTTCTTCATTCTTTTGGATCACTTTTCTTTGGAATGGGCACACATATGGAGCTCTTCCAGTCAGTTGGCCAGGTAGCTGTCTTCCTCATTTCTTAGTATAAACAAGCGAGTGCCTCCAGCATTTCATGTTTGTGAAAACATCTCAATGGGTGTTACATCA